GGGACTGTCAACACAATAGCGGCTATCCACAATACCACGGCCCGGGGACATACCCGACTTAACAAGTAGCGTTTACGGACCGGGACTTTATTTGGAAACATACTCCCAAGCACATCAATTTAGCATTTATATCATACTGCAAAACAGTAAACAAAACTTGACTAAACAATTCTTTAGTCCAACGGTTTTGACTAAACACTTCTTTTGTCCAAAGATTTTAAACAAAGCATCGACTAAACAGTTATTTAGTCCAACGGTGTGACAACTGTCAAATTTGAGCTTCCAGGTTAGCTCTTATTAAATTTATAGTAGTGTTATTAAAGATAATTTATAAGATTAGGAGTTAGTTAGATTAGATTGGCCGAAAATTTTCTAGAGTTTCTGGTAGTTGCTTAGAAAGTCCGGTTCCGACCCGTAACTATCTGAAACGTCCTATATAGTGCCAAATGCTCCAATTTATACCCAATTTATATTGATGAGTCCAGATTTCATACAAACATGGAATGATCTTCATAGATTGTGATGAACTTCAAAGTAGAAAGAAGATATTCAAGAAGATGATTAGATTGAGAGGAGAGAGAATATTACATCAGCAAATCTTGATTTTCAGATTAATGACAAAGCTTAATTACAATTACAAGGTAAATCCTATTTATACTAGGAAATGTAAAGACTAAGCTATTACAAGGAAACTATACTAAGGAGAAACTTGAATACAACTTTAAGCACTAACTTGAACCCAACATATATAAAACACAAAGTTTTAGTGTTTTAAATATAAAACTTTTTATTTAAATGAATTTAACCAACATGGGTTTATAATTTGAAGAAAAATGTCAAAATTGAGAAAAATGACATTTTAACAATTTTGGGGCTTAAATTTAATTAAAATAAAAAAATAAAAATATATTTTTCGGCTTGGGCCCCCCATGGCCGGCCACCCCCCCTCCCTCCTAATATCCACATATAAATATCATTATTTTCTCCACTTACAACTCATTTTCACATTTCAAAATATGAAACTCTCTCTCTCTCTCTCTCTAAACTCAAGAAGCTCTCAAGATCACCTTCTTCATCCTTCATACTCCAGCCAATTTCTTCATATTTTTCCATCAAAATAGCAAATATTTTGAAGATATTACATCCTTCTCATCATCAATCAAGGTAGCTACTTCATCTCCACCAATTTCTTGCAAACTTTGGGGGAAAAACCCACTTTTCTTGCATTTTAAACTATCTTCTTCTACCCTCCGAAAATTTCTGAGTTGTAAGGAGATATTACACACCAAAAACATGTAAAAATGTTCATATGATGGTRGTAATCTATGACCCAAACATTAGAACTCAAGAAAATAGGTAAAATCATGTTGCATGTGGGTTTGATTCCTAAAAAATGACATTTTAAGTGCTGACAGATTGCATGCATGTGCATAAATCGTCCATTTCTTGCAAATAATATGTTCAAATGTCATGAATCTTCTTCTAAAAGTTCATCTATTGAGTTGGGGTTTTAATCCAATTGGTCTCACTCAAAAACATTAGGTTTTGACTCCCCAAATACTCAAAACAAGATCCATGTGCATCTGGGAGTTTTTCAGTAGGTAAACCCTACTTTAAACAACCATAACTCTATAAATAATCATCCAAATAATTTATTTTTCTTTTGGAAGTTAATTTAATGAGTTACCTTTCAAATGACACTGATTTCATTCAAAAATATGGTGATTTGAGGTTTCAACTACTCAAAACAAAATGAGTATGCAATCTGTCCAAAACTGACAGATTTGTATATGCATGTTCTAATGACCATATCTCTTTCAAAACTCAATGAAAAAGGATGATTCTTCCTTTGAAAATTAACTATATGAGTTATATTCTTCATGCAAGTGGAATCACATAACAATATGGAGTTTTGAGCTCCAAACACATAAAACACTTTAGGTGTGCAAACTGTGAAACCATCAGTAGGTAGATCCTACTTTATGTGTTAATATCTCTTTTATTACTTGCTCTTAGTACATGATTCTTCTTCTGAAATATTCTTTTATGAGTTAGGGTTCATATGAACCCAGTTTCACTCAAAAATATGAAGTTTTGAGGCATTAAMCAATWTATTAAAGTTAAGTGTGCAATCTGTCAACTAATGACGTATGTGTGCATGTAACTTTATGGTGCCATATCTTCCTCTTAACTCATCCAAAATGAGTGATTCTTATCTTAAAAGTTTCATTTAGGTGTTGAGTTTATAATCCAACTGGATTTTCTGCAAAACAATTAGTAGAACTCTTCAAATGAGTATTTTACTAACATGGTGTAATCTGCCATACCAATTGTGACATATTGTATTGCATAAATTATTTGAACCATTTTTTACATGTCTAAAATGCATGAAATTTGGTCACAATGAGCATAACTCAGTACTATATCCCATATAAAAAGATAGGAAACTATGTCATTTTAGAAGTCTCTATAAATTGATCATTTTTAGTGCTATTAGTTTCTGTCCAAAAGTGAAATTCTGGAATTATTTGATTTTATAAATTTTGATCATTTAATGGATTATAACATTACTTCCGGTATAAATTACTATATTAACGAGCATATGTGCATTATGTATAATTGGACTGTAGATAATCAAGTTGGACATATGTAGACAATTATAGACTTAGGACTTATTAATCCCTATAAGTAGTTTTAAACCCATAAGTGACAGTTTTGGATATTTCTCTTTGATAGGGAAACGTTAAGCCAAAGTGTGGGGACCGGATCATGTTTTTGTTTAGCAGAGCTTTGCAAAAGTGTGAGAATTCATAGCCCCTCTTTCAAAGTATTTATTACGTTTTGGGGTGAAAAGCATGATTGAATGAATTATATGAGCTATTTTCATTATGAATTTGAAATTTTGTTAATTTGATGTTGTGGGCACTAAAGCGTGTACACTAATAGTTATATTGAGTAAAATGTAACAGAAAAGTTTGTACACTACTATTAACTCAAGTGAGGAGCCGAGGGTATTTGTGGATAGCGCTATTTGGATGGACAATCCCACCTAAAAACCGATAAGTAGGGGTGTGGATAGCAATCCCACCTAGAAACTACAGGTAAGGGTGCACTATACTTAAAAACAAAGGTTCTACATATGTGAGGTATTAGTCCCACCGCTAAGGTAGAATTAAAAACCGTTTTATGGGGTCGAAAGGTTTAGTGGTGGCTCTTTATATACTTAAAATTAGAGTACAAATTGCCTTGAACAATCCAAGATTTTCTTTCAAAGTAAATTAAGTGCCATTAAAAATTTAATTTGCTCATATTCGCTTATGCAAAAGGAGGTTTGTAATATTGAAAACCTGTGAAGTCACCAGCTCTTTGTGGTTGACCTTGTTTTATTATGCTTTTCAAGGGTAAGAAAGGTTAACTGATAACGTTTATGTTCGGGGCGCAACGACATCAACCATATTTATATTTGAAATCTTTTTTTTGAAAACTTTGCTTACACCTTGTTGTTAAAAACTTTGAACTTGTATGATGTAATTACGGACTTTATATGTTATGTATTTGAATGGACAATTGGTGTTGTTTTCACCCTATCGCTGTGAAATCTTGAACTATCACTCCTCGTGTTTCTGCTTTAGCGGGGTGTGACAGACTTGGTATCAGAGCCATAGGTTATAGAGAACACCGGTTTTCTATTAAAACCAAATACTATAACCAAATGATTTTAAAAAAAATATATATTTTCTAAACCAATTTAATTTTTTTTTAGAAAAAAAAAACTTAATACTGGTATAATTGGACTAAGAGTTGACTTAACATATTATAATTAGGCAAAGCCTGATCACCTATGTCTAATTTAATATGTTTAAGGAGGGACAAGGAACAATTATATTAGAAGTCGGCTAAAATAAAAATTTCTTGCCCAAAGGAAAAGCATAATTGTGAGTTGCATGAGTATTTTCATTTTATGAATTATTATTTACTTAAGTACAGTTAGTAATTAAAATTGTTACTGTCACAGTTTAAAAATGTCTCACTCATCCTCATTCCCTGAGCACTCCCCTGACGAATTCGGTTACTTTACCAGCCTCCCTAGGAGAAACCAACCCGTCCATGAGGAGAGTGACCCATCCAAGGAAAGTGACACGGCCACCCGAGAGACTTCTGTTGAATCATCTGTACCTACGCCACCTCCGGTCGATGTGGCTGGTCCGTCGCGAGGACCTAGGATCATGAGAACCGCCCGAAAGTGTGTTCTCCCTCCTAGGAGGGTGACTATCGCAGTTCCCTTCGAGCCTCTGAGCGAGCCAGCTGGATCGCAGTCCCGATCGCGGAGCATGACCCCTCCTCCCCCAGCAATTGGAGTTCCTGTGCCACAGCCTCGGGGAATGACTGCAGCGGACAACTTTTGGGCCTCAGGCTTGAGCAGTCAGTTACAGTCCCACCGTCATACACTTAATCACGTCCAGCAGTCCTTAGACGACATTTTTACAGTCTTGCTCACACAGGATGATCTTACTACATGGATTATGGAGGTCGCTTTCGAGACTAGGAAGGCAATTCGGAGATTGTACGCGTACTTGTTTTGGGCGGTAGGAGCTTTGGTGATGATAATAGGGATATTGATTAGGGTGTTAATGCGTTAGGGAACTCCCGTTATTTTGAAACTTTTGGGTGGATAATACCTTCTTTTGGGGCTTGTAGCCTATATGTTTAAATTTAAACAATTTAATGTCTTTTCGGTTGTATTTTAAAACTAATGTTTGGTTTGCTTTGGCTATTTATGAAATTAATACATGTTATCTATTTATCGCATGTTGTTTTGGAGTATATGTTTTCATGAATAATGTTAGATGTATGTTATAAGATACGTATGATTTAGTAAGTAGATTTATTATGGCCATAGTAACATAAGTTGACCAAAACCCAATTTAAAATTGTTTTTTAGAACAATGCCTCCGAGAAGGGATGATTCCGAAGTTGCATGACTTGTATCCGAGCAACTCATGGCAGCATTTCCAAACATTGTTAGCCAAGTGGCAGCTGGCCTGAATAATAATAAAAACAACAATCAAGGGTCGGGAAATAGAGAATGTACGTACAAATCCTTTATGAGTTGTAATCGGAAGGAATTTCATGGGACTGAGGGAGCCGTGGGATTACTGACTTGGTTAGAGAGCATGGAGTCTATGCTCCATATTAGCAAATGTACCGAAGGGAAGAAAGTAGAGTTTGCTGCATGTCTATTACAAGGACGAGCATTAACTTGGTGGAATACCCAAGTACAAACTCGGGGCCAGGAAGTCGCCAACGGTCTTACGTGGGAAGATTTTAAGAGGATGATGAAAGAAGAGTATTGTCCAAGGAGCGAGATCCAGAAACTGGAAACAGAATTACGGAATCATGAAATGAGAGGAAATGATATAGACTCTTATACTGTACGTTTTCATGAGTTGGCAAAAATGGTACCGCATCTAGTGACACCTGAAGAGAATCGAGTTGATAGATATATTTGGGGATTATCTCCGGTGATACGCGGGGATGTTACTTCGGGAAACCCAAAAACCCTACAAGAGGCAGTAAGTTCGGCAACCAAACTCACCAACAATGCTACTCGTTCAGGAATGTTTGTAAAAGATAAGGCTTCAGGGAAGAGAAAGATGGAGGAACCTACACGAAGGCAATCTGGGGGAAGAATGGGAAAGGCTCTAAAAATATCAGAAAACTACGAGATTCAGACTCATCAGCAGAGAAGGAGAAAAGAACTTATCAAAGGTGTGAGAAGTGCAATAAACAACATGCCGGACGATGTATTATCTGTCAAAAATGCAACAAAGGAGGTCACTATGCCAAAGATTGCAGGAGCACAGGAAGGCGGGCATGTTTCGAGTGTGGAAGCCTAGATCACTTTCGGAATGCATGTCCACGATGGAACCAGAGACCGAACACTAACCATGCACGACCAGCCAACCAAGGAAATCAAGGAGGTCCGGCAAGAGGCCAAGTGTTTGAGATTGGAGCTGAGGAAGCAAGGCAGAATCCAGATGTAGTTACAGGTACGTTTCTCTTAAATAATCATTACGTATCTATACTATTTGATTCTGTAGTGGATAGGAGTTTTGTGTCATTAGATTTTAGACCAAAAATAAATCTAAGACCTCAAAAGTTGAAAGAAGTATACATCATTGAATATGCCAACGGTCAAGAGTGTAAGGCCAAAGACATAATAATGGACTGCACTTTAAACTTGACTAGTAGGGATTTTCATATAGATTTAATCCCGATCCAACTAGGAAGTTTTGACATAATTGTGGGCATGGATTGGTTATCCAAGAACCGAGCTGAAATTAGTTGTTTCGAGAAGATCGTTCGAATTTTGTTACCTGAAGGGGGAATACTCGAAGTACACGGAGAGAAACCCAGAAGGGTTATTAAAATCATGACGTGTTTGAAGATGCGAGAGTATTTGAGAAAGGAATGCATTGCCTTTCTAGCTCACGTTATGGATAAGAAAGCTGAAGAAAAACGCGTTCAAGATATTCTTATAATTCGGGACTTTCCCGAAGTATCCCCAAATGAATTGCCTGGAATACCCCCACCAAGACAAGTTGAGTTCCACATAGAACTAATTCCTGGGGCAGCACCCGTGGCAAAAGCACCATATCTGTTAGCACCATCTGAGATGAAGGAGCTGTCGGAACAACTTCAGGAATTACTCAATAAAGGATTCATCAGACCCAGCTCTTCACCTTGGGGAGCTCCAGTTTTGTTTGTCAAAAAGAAGGATGGATCTTTTCGAATGTATCTCGATTATAGAGAACTCAACAAGTTGACTGTTAAGAACCGATACCCCCTTCCCCGGATTGATGAAAAATTGACCAACTTCAAGGAGCTACATACTTCTTGAAGATCGATCTTAGGTCTGGATATCATCAAATGAGAGTGCGAGAAGAGGATATTCCCAAGACGGCGTTTAAGACTCGATACGGTCATTACGAGTTCCTAGTTATGCCTTTTGGTCTAACAAACACACTAGCAGTCTTCATGGATTTGATGAATAGAGTATGTCGACCGTATCTAGACAAGTTCGTGATCGTGTTTATAGATGACATAGTTATTTATTCTCGAGACAAAAAGGAGCACGAGCAACATTTAAAACTGATACTGGAATTGCTTAAAAACGAAAAGTTGTACGCCAAATTCTCTAAATGCGAATTTTGGATTCGTGAAATGCACTTACTTGGCCACGTGGTGAATGAAAAAGGAATCCAAGTTGATCCAGCTAAGATTGAGGCCATTAAGAAATGGGAAGCCCCGAAGACACCAACCGAGATTCGCCAATTTCTTGGATTGGCAGGTTATTACCGGCGATTTATCGAGAATTTTTCTAAGATCGTGCAACCACTAACAACTCTAACCCAAAAGGATAAGAAGTTCATTTGGGGAAAGAAACAAGAGGAAGCCTTTCAGACACTCAAACACAAGTTATGCAACACACCGATCTTGGCCTTACCAGAGGGAGTAGACAATTTTGTAGTCTATTGTGATGCTTCACATCAAGGGATGGGATGTGTACTGATGCAAAAGGAAAAAGTTATCGYATACGCATCGAGACAACTGAAGATTCACGAGAAGAATTATACTACTCATGATTTGGAGCTAGGAGCGGTGGTGTTCGCACTCAAGATCTGGAGACATTATCTCTACGGTACTAAGTGCACTATTTTCACGGATCACAAGAGCCTTCAACATATTTTTGACCAGAAAATGCTCAATATGAGGCAAAGAAGATGGGTTGAGCTACTTAGTGACTACGATTGTGAAATAAAGTACCATCCAGGCAAGACTAATGTAGTAGCTGATGCTTTAAGTCGAAAGGAAAGGGTAAAACTGACAAGAGCACGTGCTATGGGATTGATGGTTCAGACGAGTTTATAGACTCAAATTCTGGAAGTACAAGGAGAAGCTCTGAAAGAAGAAAATATGAAGAATGAAATCTTGCAGCACTTAGAGAAAGAATTTGAAATGCAAGCAGATGGGGTGCATTACTTTAAGAATAAAGTATGGATACCAAAGGTTGGTTACCTACGATCAACCATTTTGGACGAAGCCCATCGATCCAGGTATTCGATTCACCCAGGAGCAGATAAAATGTATAAGGATCTGAAAGAGTATTATTGGTGGCCAGGAATGAAGAAAGATATTGCTTTGTTCGTAAGCAAGTGCCTGACTTGTGCCAAGGTAAAGGCTGAACATCAGAAACCATCTGGTCTACTCCAGCAACCTGAAATACCACAATGGAAATGGGAGCAAATAACCATGGATTTCGTAACTAAGCTACCCAGAACTAGAAAGGGGCTCGATACTATATGGGCTATAGTAGACCGACTTACCAAATCAGCTCATTTCATTCCCATTCACGAAGATTTCAGCATGGAAAGGCGCGCACAAATCTACATCATTGAAATAGTTACATGTCATGGTGTGCCTATTTCCATTATTTCGGATAGAGATACATGTTTTACATCATGAATTTTGCAGTCTTTTCAAAAAGCATTGGGTACGCGCTTGGATTATAGCACCGCCTATCATCCTCAAACAGATGGACAATCAGAAAGAACTATTCAAACGCTAGAAGATATGTTACGTGCGTGCACAATAGATTTTGGTGGGAGTTGGGATACTCATCTGCCCCTTGTTGAATTCTCTTATAACAACAGCTATCACACCAGCATACAATGTGCATCGTACGAAGCTTTATACGGACGTAAATGCAGATCGTCGTTTAGCTGGGTAGAGATCGGAGATAGATAGTTGACAACGCCCGATATTATTCAGGAAACCACCGACAAGATTTCAATCATCAAGGAGAGACTCAAGACAGCAAGAGACCGTCAGAAGAGTTATGCGGATAATCAGAGAAAGCCGTTAGAATTCTAAGTGGGGGATAAAGTACTTTTAAAGGTATCGCCATGAAAGGGACTAGTACGTTTTAGGAAGAGAGGCAAGCTGGGTTCCAGATACATTGGTCCATTCGAAATATTCGAAAGAATCGGACCAGTGGCGTACAAGTTAAAGTTACCACAAAATCTAAGCGCCATCCACGACACGTTCCATGTGTCGAATATGAATAAATGCCAAATGAATGAAACAATAGTGTTACCCCTGGACGACTTTCAGATTAACGATCGGTTACACTTCGTCAAAGAACCAATCAAGATACTGGACCGAGAAGTTAAACGGTTGAGGCGCAGTAAAATCCCTATTACTAAGGTCCGTTTGTAACAACTCTGCATTCTTGAGATTCCAGGTTAGGACCATTCTTCGGGAGTGTTCTTGGGAGCCAAGCATGTAGAATTACCCTTACTTAAGAGTTCGATCCTTCTATAGTCGTCGGCTTAAACAGAGGCTCTGGTAGCGAACATAGAGGCTTTGGATTTAGGTACAGAAGCTCTGTGACCTTGTGACCTTTCACAGAAGCTCTGTGACCTTGTGCAGAAGCTCTGTGACTTTGCACAAGAGACTGTAACTATTCTCGRAACTCTGGTWTTCTTGTTTCGCAGAGGCTCTGTGAATGATTCACAGAGGCTCTACACTCATCGCTTCACAGGACTCTGCGACTCTCTTCACAGAGGGTCTATTACTACGATCTTTTAT